CTCCAAATTTCTGCTTCGTTTCCAGTTCATCTGCTGTTCCTCCTGCGGCTCCAACAGGCCGAGTCCATTGTCTCCACTCGCCGTTCTGTTCCTGTTGTCTGTCACCAAGATCAATGTTAAAACAATAATATTCAGTCCCAGTTAACAGTTAACTGTGTATAGCAGTGATACAAACAGCTCACACAAATACATACTGCGCCCTCTGTTTTTCTCTGAGTAATAGCTTTTTGATTACTACAACAGGGAGAAATCGTTTGCAATTTCCATGGGAGCAACTAATATCTCATCCTCCAGAGTTGACAGACTGAGGAGAAGATTCTACGAGAGCTGAGTGGGTCCTCTAGTGTTCGACGTAAAAAAGTGCAAGCCTGTGTGAATTGTCATCACCAGCTCAGCACATCAGCTTGAAAGATGCCCGACCATCAGAACCAATCAAGTCTGGAACTTGTCATCCTGTAAAAATGACTTCCCTCCTGCTCCCCCCACCCTCCTCTATTCTACTTACCCACTAAAAATATAGCATCTCACTTTAATACTGTCAATATTATCACACGCGTCTTCTCCTCCAACAGCCGGCCAATAAAGCAGATGGATGCCTGGGACGGATTCAGATTGTGATATCTGTCAGGACCAAACAGGATTATTTGTGGGGTATTACATCACTCGGCTGTAAGCAATCCTTCATTTTACATGGCACATTATCCACACCATGTAATGCACATGAGTGCCTGCTGCTCATAAAGGAATACTGTAAAGATTTCCCCAGCCTCCTCCTCACAGAGACAGAGCAATAACCTGAGTGGACTTCCAACTGTTACAATAAAACTGCAGCAGTAAAGACAAAGTGTTTGATTCAGTGTGATGACTGATTCCTACAATGTGTGTGTATGTGTGTGTGTGGGTGTGTTTCTTTGAATGCAGCCAGAATATGTTCCAACAAGGTCTCTGTTTAAAAATACTTCATTACGTTTAGTAGTAAAGAAAACTGTATATCTGCTTTACTTGGTTTCGGCCTCTTGAGTGTACTACAGTCAGTCTGGTGCATTGCAATGGTAAAAATACACACATTCAGCAGAAGAGTGGTTACATTCTTTAAATGTGGCATCCTAACTTCATTGCTATGACTTTGTTAGCTTTGTTAAGAGAAAGCATACTTTCAAATAACATTTATGTCTTTGTATTTTTGATGACCTCGGCTGAGGGTAGCACTACATATACAGTAAAACACAAATCAGTGGTGTATTTGCTTGTCTTCTGTATGTATGTTAAATCTGCTGTTGGCAAATTAAAGTTTTTCCATAACCCATAAGCTCCATTTCCTGCCACATCTTTACAAGTGAATTATATTGCATATCTGAAAAACTCTGAAACGAATACTGTTCTAAACAAAATAATAAATGAGTGACTTATTGTGTCCACCAGGGGGTGCCCCAGAACTCAAAACACCCCAACTTCTCATCTCAGGCTCCAAATGTCACATTTTGACCATCATACTGTTAATTGTATGATAACAGAGTATAAACATGTAACCTTAAAGAGACAGAAAATCAGGCATTGATTTGGAGAATAAATAGATCTTGAGCTCATTCTAAAGTTATGGGACAAACTTTTTGTGTGATAAAATTTGGTACGCTGAGACAAATATACAAAGTTCTAGTCTAAGTGGATTGCAGGGGAGGCTCTTTTTCACTCTGTGCTTGTGCAACATAAACTCTTGCAGTTTCTGGAGGTACAGCTCGTCCTTCCGCTGCCAACTCTGTTCAGGCTTGGCCAAGATTTTCTGAGTGATTGTTGCCAATGTCTAAACGAACAACGAAGACCAGAAGCACCAAGAGGAGAAGATTAAAACACCAAGGACATTGTTTTGGACAAACTTAGGAACTAGGAAATTTTCCACTTTACTATCCTTCATGTTGCTACCCCAACAGGGGATGATGATGCTCTCTCCCCAAGAGACTCATAGAAGGTCTGCAACATTGCTGCAAACTCTGAAAGACCAAAGCTTCCTTTATAATTAAAGTCTGATCTTTCTTTTTCACTGCTGTGTCTCCACTCCACTTCTTTCCCTCCATGATTGACGCTGTAAACGTTGTTTGAAAATCCTTTATTCATATAGTACTTTTCTAGTCATACTGAACTCTCAAAGTTCTTTACAGTCACATTCACCCAATCACATTCATTAATGGACATAGCTTCATACAACTGCTGGTTGTTTTGAGGTGTAAGCTCTCTGTAGGTTAAGTTCCTATTCCAAGTGCATTGCCCTGTGCTACTCCATAAGTAATCCTGGAATATGAAAATGCATCGTTCACATGAGTAGAAACATAAGATTTAAACCAGACTAGCAGTTCTGAATGTCTCCTAATACTGTGTTCATCAGTCGCTGAAAGTTAGCTGGTGCATTACGCATTCCAAATGCCATCACTGTATATTGTATATATACTGTATATTGTATATATACTGTATATTGCAATGATGGCATTTCCTACAGGAACCACATGAGGAGCAGCAGCCTCACCTGTCTCCAACTTTCCATTTTAAACTTGTCCTATAGATCAATGGGGGACTTTTTGACTTACTGAGCTCTGCATGTTTGTATGTGGCTGCATGTGTTGACATTTGACCTTTCCCTTTCCTCCTTCAGCCCCCGAGCCCTGCATCTCCGTCTTCTCCGGTGCTCGGTCAGTTTCTACAAAACTGGGTGGATTTCGACAGATATCTGTACAGCACAAAAAAGCACACTCTCATTAATTCTGCAGAGAAAGACTCGATTACTGAGCTCAGGACCTCTTACTGCTGAGAACAGCCTTTCCCCTCAGCATGCATTGATTTCTCGAACCCTTTCAGCCCTCACTCCCTTTCTGTCCAGGCCAGCTCAGCACACACACACACACACACACTGCTCTGCACTGAATCATCTGAATATCATAATACGGTTTATGATGAATGCTAACTAGACAGCAGCCCTAGCTTTGATTAATGAAGATATCATGCAGGTTCACAACGGTGGACCATGCGCCACGCAGCCCAAACCATAGATAACTGTTCAGTGGTATTAATCAGGGTTAACCAGGCAGCGGTTTCTTGCTGAACAAATGAAGTAGCTTACTTAGAGGTACAATGAGACCACGACACACACACACAGAGCAGGACCTATGCCTGATCATCTCCAGCACAAAGTGGAATTTTAAAAAGGGTCTAAATGGACCTTAGTTCGTGTCTGATGAAAGAAAAAGCTGATCTTTCCTCCTGAGGTGGTTTCTAATACATTGATTTCATGAATGTTTGTATGCGTGTGTGGTCAAGCCTCTTTAGCTAGAAAAACAGGAATCCCCATTCAAATCTTTCTTATACAGTAAAACATGGCGATAAGTTATAAAAATCTTTGAAAAATGTTAGCAACATCCCTGAAAGCAGTGATTTTCAACAAATAGCAAAGGTTTCCTGTATCGCTAAGCTAAGCTGTTGCCACTGTCGCTAAGCTAACGGCCTAAAATTTGCCTGACATGACTTTTGTAGAAACGTCTCGTTTTCTATTGAGCATAAGCTCAACAATATTGTTTTGTAAATATGGTTATATATCATATGTATTTAGAGGTGACCACAGTCTAACGTAGACTGTTTCTGACTAAAGAGGCCTTCATTCTGGAAGACCATCAACCAGAACATGGATGGATGGATGGATGGATGGATGGATGGATGGATGGATGGATGGATGGATGGATGGATGGATGGATGGATGGATGGATGGATGGATGGATGGATGGATGGATGGATGGATGGATGGATGGATGGATGGATGGATGGATGGATGGATGGATGGGTGGATGGATGGATCTTCCTACCAGGCTTCTCTAATTCGAAGCTAATACAGCATGAATCACTTACTTACACTGTATCACTACACAAAACATTCATATAGTGTTGGTTGTTTATGGTTTTGGCTGAGCGCTGTGTCATATTTCTTGGTCTTTGAGATTTTCTAGACAGACTGTTAATTTTTACTTTATGATTTGACCTCGTCATGGTCGTAGCATCCAGCTCCTGTGATGTGATCTTTTTCTTCACTGCTGCATCTTTACTGTTTTTTAGTATCATGCAGTCAGTGGTTGTAGTTTACCTGTACTCCAGCCGGTACTCCACCATATCGACTACACCCTGCTGGTGCAAAGGGGGCCAGCCCAACAAACTGACATAAAGGATTTTGATAATGCTGACGTGAATGATTATTGCAATGTTGGCAGTGAAGAAAGGAAAGCAACAGTGATTATACACTGAAGTTAGACGAGATTTAAAAATCTCAGGCTAATATTTTTTCTGAATATGCAATGCAAAGATATTCTTTTTCCTATTATTTGGAAGGTAAAGTCATGTGGTAGTTCTTAGTTTCATTGTTTTTAGTCAGAGGTCACTGTAAACATATATTGTATTCTGCTGCCCCCTGGTGGTAAACTTGTAACCACCAGCTTTCATGTAGAACATTGTTTTAAATATTTTCAGTTACCTTTTATACTTTTTTATGTGACTGTGTTGTCTTTATTAAATTTTTAATCATGTTTGAAACACCAAATGAGAATCAAGAAAAATTGCAGTCACAGTCACAGGGTTTTTTTATGGGATTAATAAATATGTCTTGATAATTTTAGTTATTTTGAATTTTACAAACAAAAAGTATAAGCAGGAGGCATTTTTCCATCAAAACAAGCATAAAACCAAATACTAACACAGTTAAATCATACCAAAGACAAGAAACATTAGTGAAACCACAATTTGATAAAGCAAAAAAAAAAATATTTTTTTTTTCAGTGTATTGAATTTTAGAAAAATAGGTCATAAATTTATGAAATTAGTAATAAGTCAAATTACCAGGATCTCAACATATCCAAGTAAAGAATAACATAAATAATTATTAGTTTTGCAATCAAATATTATGGTTATGTATTTATATTAAATATTTGACATGAGTTTCAGAAAAGAAGAACAAAGCACACCAAACGTGATAATATGTGAGTAAATTTATTAATTTGTGTACAGAGAATAAGACACAGAACATGTTCAGAGAAAGTTCAAACATATTCTTCTAAGTCATTATGTTTTGTCTCAACGTCAATTAATGATGGCGTTTTAGACATCAAGATAAATACATCCAGTCAAACTCAATGTCCAAGTCAGACAAAATCTCAAGTTTTAAAAAATTTTCATCAAATCTTTTATTTCTATTCTGCTTCAAACTGTATTTGTTTGAGCATTTTGGTAGAGTTACATCATGACGTCCGGTGTTAACAATAAAGCGCTGCATGGAAGATGAAATAATAAAACAAATAAAAAACATTTCAATTGACTCTTAGATTGTGAAGACAATCATCTTATGTTTTTCTCTCTCCAAATCGCAGTAAAAATCAAATACATCTTACATATTTTATTTTGTATTATTATTTACAAAAGCCTGTATATACATTACACATCTGTTGAGACAAGTGTACATGGCTGTGGGAAAATATTTTTCACAAGCAGATCCCAAACACCCCTAATGTTTCACGACAGTTTGTATAATTCTAGGTCATATTTTGTCCAGTTTTGTACTTTTCAGTTGTTTTGTGAGCTCAACTTCCTGTGATTTCTGCTGAACTGCAGTACTGCTCAGTACCAGCAGACAGTGACAGGACTATGATCCGGCTGCCTGTGTTGGATGTTAATCTGTGCGGACACTGGTGCGGTCAGAAAGACAGCGCTCACAGTGTGGATGTGTGTCATGGTGTCTGCGTCATAGAAGGAGAGCTCTTTAGAAGAGCAGTTAAAGTAAACCCCAATCTTTCTGGGTCTGTTTCCAAACTCGAGCTCCGTGGTGACATTCGGGCCACATGTGGCATATTTTACTCCGTCATATTTCAGGAGATTATGTATAACCCCCAGTTCCCAATAGTTTCTGCTGCCAACCTCAATTTCCCAGTAATGCTGCCCGGCTCCGAACTCAATGACACTGGATGCAGTTTGTAAGTCTACAGTGGCTTGAGCACCAGACGGGTTTTGGATGAAGTCATTAGTTGTACCAAATGAAGAACTGCCTCCAAAAACCGGTGCAGAATATATTTTCTGGCTCTGCAAACATGTTTGTGATTTGGAGAATGCGAAGGGTTGTGGTGCTTTGGGTTTACAGAACAAACTCCTCTCGTCATCAGACACGACCAGATCCTCACTGTCGCTTTTCAGCGTCAGCAGCTCTGCCCGGGGCTGGATCACCTGAAGCATCTCCTTCCACATGAAGAACTGCAGGTGGCTCTCATACGGCCCCAGAGAGAGAGAAGAATCCACCAGTTGGAGTTCATTCACTCTGGGCCTGAACACATACTCTAGCGCCCCCTCGCTCTTCCCCTCTGTCCAGCTCTTTAAGAAGCTCTCCGGTTCTGTGATTTTCAGAACAGTGGAGACTTTTTCCTTCAGCTCTCTGCTCTCAGACAAAGCCACGGCTATAGCTTGGAAAGTCTCTCTCATTTTCTCAACGTTTTCTTCCTCCTTGTGCTTCAGCTCGCTCTTTATCTCCTTTTCTCTCCTCCTCAGAAACTGATGCATCTCCTCAAACTGTTTGCTGATCTGAGCCAGCAGCTGCTGAGATTTCTCTCTGGTTTTAAACATTTCGTCCTTTTGTGCATCAGCAAGACTTTCTATAGCATGAATATCATCGGCAGTGCATTGCTCAAACATCTCCAGCTGTTTTCTGAGGGACGCAGCAGCTTGTTTGACTGGTTTAAACTGGTGACCTTCATGCTCCTCACTATCTCTGCATATGATGCAAACTAGCTGCTGGTCTGTGATGCAGAATAACTTCAACTTCTCCTCATGTTCAGGACAGAGTGCAGCCAGCTGGAAGACACACATTGTGACATTTGAGTGTTTGATTGGTTGTACTGCATTTTCAAAAAAGAAGCAAAAGTGGAGGGACAACATATTATTACTGTCATTATGAGCTTCTGCAGGATTAGAGTTACACCCATCACAAGGTCAGACCCTTCAGGATATAACTAACTTGCAATGGCTTCAGATGAAAATCTAGCTACTACTCCTGCTGAACAAAAACTAAATAAACAAAATGTTGTTTAGTACAATGGAGTATTAGGGCTATACTAAGAAAATAATATAAAAAAAAAGTCATAGTATGTTGAGAATGAAGTCATAGTATTGGGTGTTTTTGTGAAGGCAATTAACAGAATAAAGTAAATTAAAAAAGGATAAAATCATAATAATATGATAACAAAGTCAGAATATTTTGAGAATAAAGTTGTAATATTATTACTTTATTTTCATAATATTGTTCTCATGATTCTATTTTATAAATTTTCCCAGCATGTCTTTAATTCTCTGTCGTAAGTCATTGGAGAGCATAAAACTTTCCCTGTGTTTGGTTTGTGAAAATATTCAGATTGATTCACGTTTTCTTACATAAGCGTGGCTCCTGCAGGTATTGTTCTGTTAGTATGATAATTAGGTCTCCTCCATCTGTTTATTTAAATGTTTACATCCCTCAAAATGCTGACCTGGCAAGCATATTTCAATCAGTGGTATTATTTATTTAGTTATTGATAAAATCTACTAGAATTATTACCTGAAAATCTTTCTAGGTTTTAGTTTTCTCACCCAAAGCGGTACAACCGTTTTGAATTGTCCACCCGAGTTTTAGTTACAGTTCTTTGGATTTACCATCTGGGATTTCTGTTTCTTTTTGGGAGGTTTTTTCATTCTGAGTGACTTTATAGCCATGTTGAAACAACATTTAAACACACTAAATGATGTGTGCCTTGATTACACTAAAACATTATGAATTAATCCGTTAGCACCATACCAAGTTATGACATCATCTGGGCTTTCCCCTCATGTTTATTGTGCATAAATGCCTGAACTTATGACAAAAGGGAACAATAAGCACACAAAACATATTTCTCTCATTTAACTTGCATTTAGAGAACAGAAATAATGTTTATGATCTCAATTAATGTCAAATATAATGCAAGAAAATCTTAGATGCATTTTTTTAATGCAATGTATATAAACTTCTTACTTCACTTACATGTCAGTTAGACCAACTTCTAAACCAACATGAGATTGACAATTAAACCAGAACAAACTTGGTTTAATTGTCAATTAATAATATCAATTTCATTTTAATAATATGAAATTTAAAGTTCACTAAACTTAAGGTTTACATAATTGTTGTTATTATTTTACATACTGCTTGTCTTATTAGTAACAAGTTATTTTTTCTGGCTACTTGGCCAGGATTTCACATTTAATATTCATTATTTGCTTTATGACTCAAATTATTTCATTAAGGGCTTCTTAAACTTAATATTGAACATTAACATTTTAAACTTTATGATGGGTTTATAAATTTATAAACATTATAAATTAATAACTTATATAAACACTAATCATCCTTCTGAACTGTTAGACTGTTTATTTCAGAATGTATTTCTTTCAGTGATGTTTGTAGGAAGCGATGAGCATTTCCAATTGGAAGGAGATACCTGCAGCCAAAGGCTAAGTGTCAAAGTATATGAATGTGAGTTGATCAATTCCTGCATTATTGCTACAGAAGGAAGTAAATTGGAACTCTGAACTTTGCACTCTGCTTTACGGCAGCCTATAGATGTAACAAGCCTGTGACTCAAGAGAACAGAAGAAGCAGCAATTTAACTAAGGACCACCTTAAGAAAATAAAAAGAGAGGGTGAGGCAGAGCTTGCTTCAGAAAGGGTAGCAAATTGTAACTGAAGCAAGTTCCTATCCTTTGTCCTTGCGCAAGTAAATCTGAAACTCATTGTCTCTGTCTCTTCTTTTACTGTTTGAAAATGCTTAGGTAGATGAATCTGACACTTTAAAAGTTATATCTGAATGTACAGAAAATAAAACAAACATTTAATTTAGATACACCCTGTCCCTTTTTATTCCCTGTGCATCTTTAAAATAAATTATTCTCATACAAACACCTTTTTTTAAGGAATGATTATTCATATAAATTTATCCTTTTTTTTGCAACCTGTCCATGTTGTCATCCAGCTGTTGAAAATTTAAGTCATGAAATGCACAGTGGTGCAGGCTATTTAAATTAAATACATCAGAGTTCAGCAGTTTACCTTTAGCAGACGATTCCACACGTAAACATAATGCCCTACCTCTGCTGTCAGACGTTTCCCTTCGTCCGGCTTCGCCTTGGCTTTCTCAGCCAGGCTCTTCAGAACGAGGCTCGTTGGGAGGCTTGCTGCCTCCAGTGCTACAGCTGTCCCACACAGTGGACAGGGCTGCTGTGTGGACAGCACTTCTGAAATGCACAGCCTGCAGAAAGAGTGTCCACAAGGAAGGTTGACTGGATCAGTGAAGATGGTCAGACAGACAGAACAAGTCAGTTCCTCAGAGTACGAAACAGACGCCATGGCTGCTGCTTTCCTCTGAACCTGTTTTGCCAGGCAGAGGATTCGTCTGTTGGTTCATGTTCCTGAAGCGCCACACCCAGTGTGGTGATAAGGCAAGAGTTTTGGAGTCATGCCATGTGACATGGCCTGCAGCGTTGAGATGAAAAGCATGCCAAGCATAACATGGATCACTCAGGATCTGTAGAGATGCATGGTTTGCTATTTATGAAACATTTGTGATTTTGTTGCTCCTGAAATCTTTTGTTCAGGACATCCGAAATCTTTTTTGAATGTACTGGAATAATCCAGTGCATTTTTATTTAATCTATAATCGTGTACGTTATATACATACGTGGTATATATTCCTCAGTTAATAAAAGAAAACCCACAATGGTCACAGAAATATGTCAAATCTGACAAAGGTAATAAATAATTCTATAAAAATGTGCAAATTAAAGTCAGACATTGCTTTTCACGCATGCTTCAACAAAATTCTAAAAAAAATAAATAAACTAATGACATGGGGGAAAAAATGATTATACTACTGCTTTAAATAAAATTCTTTTTCATAGCATGATTGACTATTTCATAAATGAATGATTCAAATAGTTATTTAACTTATACAGTATATATGGGTACATCAGATGCAAAATATTAAATGACTTAAGACTGTTTCTAAGAGTGTAAAAGATTTCATGATAAAGACATAACATTTCTCCCTTCTTATTTATTCGTATCACCCAAGTCTCACATTTACATTATTGAAACAAGAATTACAGTATACATTTCATAAAATTTTAATTTAGACACATTCATTCTTAAAGTTAAAGGCAAGTGTAAAATGAAAACCCAAATCATTTTTAAGTCAATGTTTTGTAAGCATTTTAACATCGACTAGGCATGAAAAGCTTTTCTTCAGTTCAACAAAAATCAAGTTCTAAGATGGAACTTTTTTTTTTTATAAAACAGCAAAGATGAAAATAAGTTTTATATATATATATATATATATATTATATATATATATATATATATATATATATATATATATATATATATATAAAAAATTCCCTTCTCACCCACCACGGGTGGTTCTTATCCTCTGAGCTCGGGTCCTCTACCAGAGGCCTGGGAGCTTGAGGGTTCTGCGCAGTATCTTGGCTGTGCCAAGGACTGCACATTTCTGGACTGAGATGTCTGATGTTGTTCCTGGGATCTGTTGTAGCCACTGCTCCAGTTTGGGGGTTACTGCCCCGAGGGCCCCGATGACCACAGGCACCACTGTGGTCTTCACCTTCCAGGCCCTCTCCAGTTCTTCCCTGAGGCCCTGGTATTTCTCCAGTTTCTCGTGCTCCTTTTTCCTGATGTTGCAATCACTTGGTATTGCTACATCTACCACAACGGCTTTCCTCTGATGTTTATCCACTACGACAATGTCTGGTTGGTTCGCCATTACCATTTTGTCTGTCTGGATCTGGAAGTCCCACAGGATCTTAGCTCTGGCGTTCTCCACCACCTTTGGGGGTGTTTCCCACTTTGATCTCGGGGTTTCCAGTCCATATTCTGCACAGATGTTTCTGTACACTATGCCTGCCACTTGGTTATGTCGCTCCATGTACGCTTTCCCTGCCAGTATCTTGCACCCTGCTGTGATGTGCTGGACTGTCTCAGGGGCCTCCTTGCACAACCTACACCTTGGGTCTTGTCTGGTGTGGTAGATCTGGGCCTCTATTGCTCTGGTGTTTAGGGCCTGTTCCTGGCGGCCAGGATGAGGGCCTCTGTGCTGTCCTTGAGTCCAGCTTTTTCCAGCCATTGGTAGGATTTACTGATATCAGCCACTTGGGTTATTTGCTGGTGGTACATCCCATGTAGGGGCTTGTCCTCCCATGATGGTATCTCTGGCACCTCAACCTCCGTTCCCTGTTGTCTGAGACATTCACTGAGCACATTGTCTGTTGAGGCTTTGTCCCTGATGTATTTATGGATCTTAGTTGTTTCGTCCTGGACAGTGGTTCTCACACTCACTAGTCCTCTGCCTCCGTCCTTGCGGCTCGTGTACAGTCTCAGGGTGCTGGATTTGGGATGGAACCCTCCATGCATGGTTAGTAGCTTTCTAGTCTTAATATCTGTGGCTTTCATCTCCTCCTTTGGCCAGCTGATTATTCCAGCAGGGTATCTGATTACTGGCAGGGCATAGCTGTTTATCGCACGGATTTTGTTCTTGCCATTGAGCTGGCTTCTCAGGACTTGCCTTATTCGTTGGAGGTATTTAGCTGTGGCTCCTTTCCTTGTGGCCTCATCGAGGTTGCCATTTGCTTGTGGTATACCTAGGTACTTGTAACTGTCCTCTATGTCTGCTATTGTTCCTTGTGGGAGTGAGACTCCTTCTGTGTGGATCACCTTCCCCCTCTTTGTGATCAGCCGACCACATTTCTCTAGTCCGAATGACATTCCAATGTCAGTGCTGTAGATCCTGGTGGTGTGGATCAGTGAGTCGATGTCTCGCTCACTCTTGGCATACAGCTTGATGTCATCCATGTAGAGGAGGTGACTGATGTTGGCCCCATTTTTGAGTCGGTATCCATAGCCAGTCTTGTTGATAATTTGGCTGAGGGGGTTCAGGCCTATGCAGAACAGTAGCGGGGACAGGGCATCTCCTTGGTATATGCCACATTTGATGGACACTTGTGCAAGTGGTTTGCAGTTGGCTTCAAGGGTGGTTTTCCACAGCCTCATCGAGTTTGCAATGAAGGCTCTCAGAATCCTGTTGATGTTATACATCTCTAGGCATTCAATGATCCAAGTATGCGGCATTGAGTCATAGGCTTTCTTGTAATCGATCCAAGCCATGCACAGGTTGGTGTGTCGGGTTTTGCAGTCTCGGGCAACTGCGGTCTACGAGGAGTTGGTGTTTGGCTCCTCTGGTATTTACACCGATACCCTTCTGTGCCGTGCTCATGTGTTTATCCATGTGTTTGCTTATCTTGGCCGCTATGATGCCTGACATGAGCTTCCAGGTTGTGGAGAGGCAGGTTATTGGTCGGTAGTTGGGTGGGACTGGACCCTTTGATGGATCCTTCTGGATTAGGATTGTCCGCCCTTCAGTTAACCATTCAGGGTGAGTCCCACTTTGTAGCAGCTGGTTCATTTGGGCTGCCAGTCGCTCATGGAGAGCAGTGAGTTTCTTTAGCCAGTAGGCATGGATCATGTCAGGCCCTGGTGCTGTCCAGTTTTTCATACCTGAGACTCTTTCTTGAACATCTGTCACAGTGATGGTTACCGGGGCTTGCTCAGGGAGGTTGCTGTGGTCCTCTCGTAGAGAGATCAGCCACTGTGCATTGCTGTTGTGGGACGCCTCCCTTTCCCATATGCCTTTCCAGTATTGTTCAGTCTCCAGCCTTGGTGGGTCTGCTCTGTTGTTATTACCCTGCCATTGAGAGTACACCTTAGCTGGTTGAGTGGAGAAGAGCCGGTTAATCCTTCTGGATTCATTCTCCTTGTGTATCTCTTTAGGCGGCTGGACAAGGCTTGGAGCCTCTGTTTGGCAGTCTCGAGTGCTTCAGGTATGGGCATCTGGCTGTACTTTCTGGGTACTGGTCTTTTCATTGTACCCTTGTGGAGCTCTGACAGTTGGCTCACTTCCCTCCTTGTTACCTTGATTTTAGCCTCTAACCGTCTTTTCCATGGTGGGTATTGGGTCTCATGGTTGCTCTTATAGCCAAGTATCTCAAGGATCACTGATGCTGAGTTGTAGATCAGCTCATTGGTTTCTGTTATGGTGTTGGTAGGGATCGTTCTCAATGCTGCATTCACATTCTCAATGAGACTTTCTGATGGTACTTCACTCAGCCGTTGTAATTGGCGCCGGGGAGGCCTGGTTGTCATTCGGGTCATGATTCTCTCTCTCAGGTCAGCAGCTGTCTCGTTCAGCTCTGTTTCGCTCATTGGGGCCGTGTATCCCCTCACTGGGTGGGGACTTGTAGTTAAGTCCCCACAGTCCTGACATCCGGGTTCCTCCCTTTTGCCGTAGCATTTGTGTTGTATCTCGTCAATCTCAAGTTGTGATAGCAGTTGCCGTTTGCGGATGTTGGAACACTGAGCTACTAGTTGTTTAGCGCTTAGTGTTGACTGGGGATGTCGAAGTAACCATTCCTTCCCCAGTCTTTGCATGTAACCTCTCTCACTAGGGTTACTTGAGTAGTAGCATTCCAACAGATCCACATTTTCATCTCTCGCCCATTTCCGTCCTGTTCCAGTAGCCCATTTGTCATCAAGGTGCTCTGGTTCCCCAACACCTGACGCAGACCTTGTTTGGCCGGGCGACGTCTGAGCCGGCATGTTATGCAACTTAGTATCTCTCATGGTATGAGGTAGGCAGTAGCTTGAAGGGTCTTGCCTAAGGACCCAGACTGGATTCGAACCCTGCCCTCTCGGGTGATATACTGATGCCTTATGTATTGAGCTATCCATATATATATATATATATATATATATATATATATATATATATATATATATATATATATATATGACATCTACCACACCAGACAAGACCCAAGGTGTAGGTTGTGCAAGGAGGCCCCTGAGACAGTCCAGCACATCACAGCAGGGTGCAAGATACTGGCAGGGAAAGTGTACATGGAGCGACATAACCAAGTGGCAGGCATAGTGTACAGAAACATCTGTGCAGAATATGGACTGGAAACCCCGAGATCAAAGTGGGAAACACCCCCAAAGGTGGTGGAGAACGCCAGAGCTAAGATCCTGTGGGACTTCCAGATCCAGACAGACAAAATGGTAATGGCAAACCAACCAGACATTGTCGTAGTGGATAAACATCAGAGGAAAGCCGTTGTGGTAGATGTAGCAATACCAAGTGATTGCAACATCAGGAAAAAGGAGCACGAGAAACTAGAGAAATACCAGGGCCTCAGGGAGGAACTGGAGAGGGCCTGGAAGGTGAAGACCACAGTGGTGCCTGTGGTCATCGGGGCCCTCGGGGCAGTAACCCCCAAACTGGAGCAGTGGCTACAACAGATCCCAGGAACAACATCAGACATCTCAGTCCAGAAATGTGCAGTCCTTGGCACAGCCAAGATACTGCGCAGAACCCTCAAGCTCCCAGGCCTCTGGTAGAGGACCCGAGCTCAGAGGATAAGAACCACCCGAGGTGGTGAGAAGGGAATTTTTTTTATATATATATATATATATATATATATATATATATATATATATATATATATATATATATATATATATATATATATATATATATATATATATATATTGTAAATCACAACATCCACAAATTATGTTTCTGCTTGGAGCAGTGTTTGAGAACGTTTCAGTATTTAACTTACCACAGAAATACTTCAGTTCAAACAGACAAAGATAACTTTGGTAAATGAGGAAAAACTAAACAGATGAAAACTGTGTTTTCAAAAGATGAATTCATGTGGTCAGGCACAGATATGACCAGCCCGTTCCTATATCAAAATCTGACTGCTCCCTTAACCTAAGAACCAGTTGCTTCTTCCTTTTTGCAAAGACCATAATCAAATATGAGTTTTAGCAGAGATTAATCAAGGTTTAACTAACAAACAACAAAACAACATTTAAACATGCTGCATGGTGTCTGCATCAAAGAAGTGGAGCTCCTCAGAGTTGCCATTCAAATAAAAGCCTATTTTTTTAGGTTTGCTTGTAAACTTTACTTCTTTCTTAGCTTTTTTATGAGTGGTGGTGTATTTGTTATCTTTGTATGTCAAGGAATGATTCTGTATCTGAACTGTCCAACAGTTCTTATCTTCCACATCTATCTCCCAATAATGTGGTCCTGGTGCGATCTGGTTTACACTAGTTGTACAGGTAGTTTGATGTTTGTAGTATTCCTGCCACTGTGATAGCAAAGCAATATAATTAGAATGACAACTACATGGTGGAAGATGAAAATTAATTCTTGTACTGCAGTTATTAAAAAGACCAGACCATTTTGACCAATCAGGAGGCTTTAGCTTCTTAAATAAAAGCCTTTCTGCTTGAGGCTGGATCATCTGTAGCATCTCCTTCCACACAAACAACTGCAGGTGGGTCTCATAGTGACCCAGTGAGAGAGAAGAGGTCACCACTTGGAAATTCAAGCCTAGTGGGTTGGATTTGGGTTTTGGTGTCAATTTGCTCTCTTGCCAGCTCTTTAGGAAGCTTTCAGGATCTGTAATCTCCAGAACAGATTTCATCTGTTCCCCAACCTCTCTGCCTTCAGTTAAAGCTTTTTCAACAACATTTAAGCTCTTCCTCATCTTCTGAAGCTCAACATTCTCCTTGTTTTTCAGTTCATTAAGAATTTCATCTTCTCTGCTTTTCAAAAACTGATGCATCTCCTGAAACTGGCTGCTGATCTGGATCCTCAGCTGCTGAGATTTCTCTTTGGATTTTCTTATTTCTTCGTTCTGTGACTCAACCAGACATTCAATGGCACTGATGTCAGAGGATTCCTTTTTCACCAGAGTCTCTACCTCCTTTCTGACTGATGCAGCAGCTTCTTTGATTGGCTTAAACTTGTGTCCTTCATGTCTTTCACAGTCTCTGCATATAATACAAGTTAGCTGCTGATCAGTGACGCAGAACAACTTCAGCTTCTCATCGTGTTCAGGGCAAAACCCCACAGCAACCTTTGGAGTCAATAAAGCCATAAAAAATGTCAACAATTGACTTCTATCCTCTGGTAAATAATCATGTTCTATTTTATGCAATTGTAAAATGTATTAAAGACAAAACCTTACCTCAGGATCTTTTCCAGATCCCTTCTCCTTTGCTTTTTCTGCAAGACTTTTTAAGATGTGATTAGTTGTGAAATCCATCCTGTCGGTAGGAACAGTCACCCGACACTGTGGGCACTGATTCAGCGATTTCAGAGAAAGTGTGATGCATTCCCTGCAGAAAGAGTGTCCACAGAAGACAATTACTGGATCAGTGAAAATACCTAAACAGACTGAACATGTCAGATCTTCTGAGAAGGAGGAGGAAGACGCCATGCTTCTGTCTCATCTGTGCTTCGCTCTGTGTTTCTGTGCTTTCAGAAAATAACTTCCTGTTTCCTGGAAGAGTCCCACCCAAACTTTATGGTGCATTTTAACTGACCTCCCTAAGTTTCGTTTCTGCTCAGTCCTCTCAGCTGCTGTAGATTATCCTAATGGTGAAACACCAAAGAGGAGGCTGGCTGGAGAGCACGCCTAAAGAAACAATTGTAATATTCAGTTGAGAATGAAAGAAAGAAACACTGGTATCATTAAAATTGAGCAATTTTATGAAATATTATGACAAGACTACAAATCATAATAATAAAAGCATTCTGAACTCTGTGTGCAGGTTGGGTTTCAATTACAGAAAATTCCACATCCTCCACTGAAATGTGATTTAGAAGGAATTACAATTATTTCTTCATTAACAAGTCACTCAATTATTTGAAACCTCAAGTCTTTGGTAGGTTACATACAAATTTCAGCAGTTCTGGACCTGAAAGCTCTCTTATCTTCATCATTTGGATATCAAGCCTAGAACTGATTCCTCCCAAGATCTGAATGCTGAACGTCTGCGTTTCTTTGTAGAAACAAGTCATTCAGAGAGGTAGTGATTGCTTTTGGATTCTCCTGACTGTGTTACATTACCTGGACATGGAGCCTTCTTAAATCTTCATAGAGAGTATGGAACCAACAAAAATAACGACCTGATCTGGTGAAACCAAATGAAGTGTCTTGGTCTGAACTATAAGCTTCTTGTCTGCAGCAGGAACTGGGTGAGTGTGACTGATCTGATTGAGATCTGGTCCTGGAGAGTGATTCATCTTTTAATTGGGCAAACATTTTACTCTTGTTTTGCTTCTCTTAACATTTTACATTTGAAATGTGTTGGTGCTATGATTACTATAGGTACGATGCTTTTTAATGAGGCTGATTTTCTTTTGGTGTCCTATGTGAAGTTTTTGATCTGTGGGTTGACAATCTGTGGGTGGATTTTTGCCAAGTCAGTGGCAGAAATCATCAGCAGCAGCATCAGGGCAAAGAACCTGAAAAGAAAAACAATTGTTGAGGGAATATAGCTCCCTCTAGTGACCAACATCCTGGAACTGCTCTAGGAAGTCTATCCGTCTTTTTTCTTACACCCTTGTCCCTGGTGGGGTCGGGAGGGTTGCTGTTAATATATTGTCCACTTGGTGTCGCAATAAAGGGAATTAAGAACCATGGCTCCGTAGCGCCCTCTGATGGAGAGCTGCCAGAACTGTGAGGACAGAAGTAGGAGCCAGACTGACCTTTAACCCCATCTAAACAAGACCAAGTGTATTGAAATAAGCTTGCATGGGATATTAACGTGTAATTTATAAATAACTTGTGTTTGATAAACAAGTAATGTTCTATTTATGTATAAAATCATTTGTAATCTGTTACAAACATCTTCAGGAAATGTTTTATGAAAGGGAGGCTGGATACAACTTAAGGGGGATACTGAATTTGACAATATGCAGCATCAGAACAACTTTGAAAAGATTTTTGTAACTGGGGTCAAACAAGCGAACGAACTGAATATGGAAATAAAACAATCTCCAAGCATCAACCAGTTTGAAAATAAATACAAATCTCTGTTACTCATGTTGTATAGGGAACGCCATCTGAATGTCAGGTTATTATTTATAATTGTCATTACTAGTATGATTTTCTGTACATTTTCTTGTCTCATGTGAGTTAATGTGTAATTATCTTGTCAATGTAATATTGTTTATTGCTGGCTCTTTAACACAATATATCGAACAGGCACATGGATATTTAACATGGTTTTGATCACACATTTTGATAATAATTTTTTCTCCAACATGATTAAAAAACACACAGACAATGAACAGGGTCAGTTCAAGCCTTTTTGGGGCCCTGAGCATATTTTCATTTGAGCCCCACCATCCCAACACGTCAAATATGCTATCTAAGAAATGTATTTACCATTATTAGCGTTGTTGGTAATAAGTTTCTGTCAAACTGGTGATGTTATGACTATTGATTTTAAGCTCACAGGAGTAGCAAACAAAACAAATTTAAATGTGCCATTTCATTTTAAATATTTGAAAGTAACATCAGCTGATAAACAATAAGTTTAGTAAACAGATTAACAAGTTTGATATTTTATATTTCCCAGAGTGTCAGCAGTCAAAACCAGAAAGGGTTTAATCTATTAAATGTGTAACGAGAAAGGAGCTTCAACTTTAAAAAATGAGTTGATCTCTGATCTTATATTCTGAACAAGCTTCATGACTGACTGAAGGAGTTTTCCATGGGAAAGCCATTGTTGCAGATTGCCTCGATTCCACTGAGTGGTTTGGGATGGGTCTGTTGGATTCTTACTCCATAAGGTGAGTTAACCCCAGAGTCCTAGCATAGCATCACAGTAGTGTGATGGTAAAAGTAATGCACTAGTCTTGTTCTTGTCACAGGCAGTGATGAACTGTGTGGGTCCACCTAACGATACCATTGTCCCATGACCTACAGGTGAAGGAGGTCAAGGAATGTCACAGCATGATGATCTGTTGTATGGAAACAGACAAAATGGTATAAAACCCACACCAACCTGTGCAATACTGCTCAGTGGAGTATCTATATTTTAACCTTGCATCCTCATAGGCCTTTTAAAAAAGGAAGAAAAGGTGTTCAGTGAGACGCTGGTGTTGTGGAAACGGTCTTAACATGGCAGGAATCCTCTCTTATCTCGACTCTGACTAACTCAGCTCTGAAACTAATCTCAGTTTTTAAGAAAAAGAACATAAACAATGAGGACTGTCTGTGAAATATGAATTGCTTTTAACCTCCTAAAAAATTACTCTTTGAACCTATGCTGTAGAATTATGTCCTTTTTATGAAACAAGCTGGTGAATAATTTAGCTTTAAGAGATATGTTATGTGGAGCATTTTAACTTTCAGCAGTAAAGATATTGCAAGCTTGTTAACTATAAAACCAGGCAGGATGTTATCTATTGGTTCTAAAGCACTGTGTGGCATCGGAAGACTGCAGAGGAACTGCAGAGGAACTCCAACTGAACAATCAAAAATCATTTTTAATATCATATTTTCTCTCATCATCTCCGACTCCTTGAAGGTAAGTTGAGAATTCATAATGATTCTCTCAACATGAGCTTGGTGTTAACTGCACAAAGAGCTCTTTATTTATGTGGAGACATAAATAAATGATCTCAACCATTATTGTCACGTTCCCTTTGGGTTGATGAATGAAGTATTTTTGAAGTGAATTGAAAGCAATAATGTAGGGAACATTCTTTATTCTCAATACTTTTGCAAGATGCTTATTTAAATATTCTGACTCGGATAGTGTTCTTCAACATTATCAACAAAATGTTCCACTGTTGTACACTTCAGTCACCTGTTTAGTTTGATTTTTGGGGGGGGTTTGTTTGTTTTTTTGCTTTCCCAACCACTCGGTCGGCCTGTGAGGGTCATTGTAGATGGAAAAAATGAAACCATTTCAGCTAAGAAACTCAAACATTTTCTAGAGACATTTTGAAAAGTCTTACATTTCCTAGAAGAAAGGTTGTCTCAGATATCAAAATGTTCAACTTTGGAAATGCCGATTACAATGTTATTTAAAAAAAATGTTTCACTTTATAAACTATGACATGTTTTAGATTAATGTTTGAGATGAATCTCGGTGTTTCTGGGTCTGTTTCGAGCAATTTTTCGACAAACACATTTATCTTGTTTTATCTGTGTTTGTTTTTCTAAAGAATTTCTTAAATTAACCAAGACAAACGTTCATTTTTCTTTCTTTCTTTTTTATTTATTTGGGAAATTCCCTCTTCCTGTATTTCCCACCTACAGCGGCCCTAACACACAGTCGTATAGTCTGCTCGTCAAGCGACAACAGCGCTGCTTCAGCTCATCTCTCCTCTTTGCGCTCACTGATTGGTCCAGAGCTGATAGCGCCACAGAGCTGAACATCAGCCTCTTTTACAAAGCGCTTACGCTGCTCCTCTCAGAGCGACGGGCGCTGAGCGGCGGCGTTGATGCAAACGGAGCACATCTGTTGCCTCCCTTCTGGACAGACCGTTCAGCTGATGAAGGTCGATAACAAGGTATGCTGCTGCTGCTGCTGCTGCTGCTGCTGTATTTCCGCGCTGTGAAGGATGCGCTGTTTGGTGCATCAGCCGCCTGAGCTGCACTGATCCCAATGCGTTCAGTCTGAAATGTGCTTGGAAAAAATATTGGTGATAATATGAGCGTAAGTCTTATGTATGTGAGTAAATAAGTATTGCAGATCATCCGTCAGCGTGATGTGAAATAAATGTAAAGCAGAACTCAGCGCTGGTCGGACAATAACCAGACTGTTATTGTCTGGTTATTTGCCTTTATTGAGGCTGGAATCCGTTTTAAAATGTCACTTTGTCTCCAATCGAGGTCGACTGTTTGAAAACGTCTTCAAACCGCTGCAGGATCATCCACTGTGTCTGTGGAGGGTTCCCCTCAAAACGAGAACGTCTGCCGTGAAATCACGTGTTTTCTGTTTAATCGGACATTTTCATTGATTTCTCTAATTGTACGAGACCGTGCACCTACCACAGACACGCCGCGTCATGCGTGCGACATTTGAAACCTGGAAGAGAAAGAGGCTATTTGCAGCGTCCTACGTGTCGTTTGGTTCCGCCGTCTGCGCTTTGTTTCATTTGCGGTTTGCAGAACCTGAGCGCTGCTGTAGCCTGGCGGCCGAACCCGACTGACTGACTGACTGAGCTTGCATCAGGCCATGCAGCAGAGTAGCAGAGGGATTCCCCCTGATGTGGCGATGCAGAGACTGTCTTTCTGCTCTAATGGTTCAGGAGCCGGAAGCAGACGTGAAAAAAGGAACTTTAAGTCGTCTAGTAAAACAGACATAAGCTGCGGATTCGACGAGCTGCACAGTTATTTAGAGATGGAGATCTACTTTTGCCAACTTCCCTGTCTGAGAATCATTAAAAAAGTGTTTTGAAATTTGGACTGGATGTGTTTTAATTTTGTTCTTTAAGAACCAGAATTCGTCTTAGATCTTACAGTAAACAGCTTGTTATTGTGACTTGTTTAAAAATGACTGTTTGTTTATCGAGGTGAAACAGAGGTGTCATGAGAGAATTTGAGGCCCTGAGCAGAATTTAGTTGGGGCCCAACTCCATGCAGAGCCTATTCTTGATGCTTCCTGCAAGGTTTCCCGGCTCACAGCAGCAGCAGAATTATTAGAGCCGCTTCAGATTTCGAAATTTTAATGTAACTTAATGCCTGTAAATGTAACTTTTTGTCTAATTTAAAAGGATAGCACAATTTTTACAGCATTTTTATTCTTATTTGTATTTAGACTTGCAAGGTTATGATAGCATGTAAAGAAGTGAAAATGGAAGGAAAGGAGCAAAAGCTGAAAGTTGATTCAATATTCAGAATGTACATTATTAGAATGTTGAAGTAAAAAATCCAGTTTAAAGAAACAATCCTCTGGCAGCCTTCCGGAGCATAATGCTGACGCATGCTCACTCATCACTCCCTTTTCTTAAATTAACTCTGTGACCGGAATCATTTCTATGAATAAGCGCTGGAGTGACAGCAGTAAAAGGAAGCAGCTGAAAGTCAATACATGACCAGTCCACATTTTACTTGGGAGGCTAAAAGACCTGAGGACATGCAGAAAACATTTTTTAAGTTATCGTTATATTTATTTAGGGGAAACATAAATCTGGTCAATGGTTCCATCTATCATGGCATGTTGTCTACAGCCTGAAACAGCAAAGCATACCCAGACAATCATTCTACTACTGCCATTTTTGAATTGCTTGTATGATTTCCTTCCTCTAAACTGTTGCAGATGAGAAGAAATAGGATGCAGAACTTCACACTTTTGTCCTATCATTCCACCTAACATATCGAAGAAATGCTTTGGGAACATCAACATGTTTGAGTCAGGCCTTGGTGTTCCTTTTGGTCTGCAGTGGGTTTTTTCTTTGAACTCTGCCACAGACCGTTGTTGCTCATACAGTGGAATCAAGAACCATTTGTAACTTTTCCAGACTGATAGATGCCATTGATTTCGATTCTGATCAGCTCTTGAATTTCTCTAGACTGCAGCATAACGTGTTGCTTTTGATACCTTTTAGTCTTTTCCAAATAATCAGGTGCATGGTGGCGGAGTCGATAACACTGTGCCACTTCGAGCAGGAAGGTCCTGGGTTCAAATATTGGCCTGGGATTTGCATGCTCTCTCTGGGTTCTGTGGTTTACTCCTACAGAGCAAAATCATGACTCATAAATGACAATTGGTCTCTCGACATGACCCTTATGTGTGTGCGTTGTTTCCTCTGTGTGTCCGTTTGAGAGAGTGGCCAGGATGTACTATGTCTCTTGGCCAATGTCCGATTGAGATAGTTGGCAGCCCCCCACCACTCCGCCACCCTGCAAGGACAAGTAGGTACAGAGGATGGATGAATGTTGTCAGGAAGGTTCTGTTTTTGATTTCAGAGGTCTGGCAGTAATCAGACGTGAGTACGGTTAGTGAAATTGAAGCATAGAAATCACTGTGAACTCATGAATTAACAAAAGATCTACTTATCGTTTTACATAGAACCAAGTTGATTTAGATTGTTTTCTCCATCACTTTAGAACTGTTTATTTTATTTCTTGTCCTCAGATGGTTTTTTAGAGCCCTCTGCTTTTTTTTTTTCCTCCGTTTTTCCAACACAGTTTAAAAATTGCCCTGCAATCTTCCCACATGCAACACAGATCTTGAATTGCACGGTAGTGTTCTTTGCAATCTTTGAGGATGTGGTCAAGGTTTAGTTGAGGTAGTTGCAACCCAAAACAATCAAAGTGGAGAAAGAGACAACAAGATGGAACCAGTCAGCAGACGGACAGAAAAGTGTCCCCTGGTTCATTCCGACTGAAAACAGGAATGTGGAAACAGGTCATGTTTCCACTTATTTCCAAGAACCTTGGACTGACAGGTTCTTAGAACAGTCTGTCAATGTTTTTCATATGCTTCATTTGCGTACTCTTATCTGATTCGGATCTACTATCTTCTGAGAGAAAAAGAAAAACATTCTTTATGAGATGGCAGTAAAAGTTTCATTTTGCAGGTTTATTATTAAACTCATCATCTAACTGTCACTCCAGTCATGCACAAGATCCACTCATTTGATCCAACCACTGTGGCAGACAGCTGTAATCTTTCTGGAATATACTGCAACATTCAGCTGTTTGCTTAGAAACACAAAACAGACCTCTGATCAGATTATGGAAAGTTGGTTGCAGGCATACAAACCTGTTGAACAGGATATCAAATATTTGTTCAGCTGATCTTCACATTGGTTAGCTGGATGTTTTCTGCTCTCACAACTGGGAATTAAAAGTCACATTTGTTACCACCTTAAATACCGACATAGCTGTTTCTGTATAGACGTTCAGTGTGTCAATCAATGCACTGAATTTGCACAGATTTGTTGCTTTGCAGAAAACAGAGAAGTAATACTGAGCCGTTATGATGACCCCTCGAAATGAAAGCATGAGCTTGATGACAACCTGCCTCCATGTTAGAAACTCTTACTTTGATGTTAGACACTTGTTCATCAAAGCCTAGAAGAAGGCTTCCCCTACTTTTAATTTTATTGTGTGGGAGCATTTTTAGCACCTGGTGGAAAAAAATAAAGGCTGACAGAGTGAAAGTCAAGATACAAAGGATTTGTATTAAACTGTTTACAGGTTGATCTTGGAAACACAGCTGTAGTTAAAGTTAACTTCTGCTCTTGAACTTCCAGTTAGCTAAAGAAATATTTTAAAAATCTGGACTGTGTGCTATCTCTTATTCTGTTTCTTTAAAACAGATTTTTTATTTTTAGATTAATGAAACCTTTTCTTAGTTTATTGTGTGAACACAATAAATGTGTTCACAAATGTGTTCAATAAATGTGTTCACACAATAACATTTAATTTATGACCTTCAGAGTATGAAACAAGTTTACAGCTGCTACACAGCTCTCATACACACATAACGTTATCCTGTCACTGTGATCAGTCAGTGTGACTGAGCATGACCTGTGTTTCCACAGATCTTGTGTGGGCTTATACTCGGTTAGGTTTAGGTCAGAGGTAGGCAACTCCAGGCCTCGAGAGCCATTCTCCTGCAACTTTTAGATGTGTTTCTTCTTCAACACATCTGAGTCAAATAATGGGGTCATTAGCAGAACTCTGGAAAACTTGACTGCATTTAGGAGGTGATTCAGCTATTTGAATCAGCTGTGTTGGACCAGGGAGACATCTAAAAGTTGCAGGAGACCGGCTCTCGAGGCCTGGAGTTGCCTATCCCTGGTTTAGGTTGAACTAAGCAGTTCTCCATCACTGAAAAAATACCAAGTGTTCTTGGTCTGGTTACTCATGCAAATATCTCAGTACATGTTAAAGAAGACAAAACTAACTTACAAGTAACTTTTCAACAAGTTCTAGAGCTTGTGTTATGTCAATAGTTTTTTTTTTTTTTTAATTTATTAGTAACATTGATGAAAAAGTATTAGTTCCATTGACAGATATGCTCACTTTAACAAAACATGTTTCCTATGTCATAAGGCAAACAATCTGCCAATCTGGAATATTATGGAATTATTGGCTTAAAACAAGGTCCTTGTTGAAAAGTTACTTGTAAGTTAGTTTTGTCTTATTTGAAGTTTAGCATCCTAAATTAGTTTACTTATTTGAAGTTGATATTTGGAATATTAAATATCTTAGTAATTTGCAGATATAAATAAATTGGATAATGTGCCTGCAAGATTAAAACTTTCATTTCTTATGCTTTGGGCCGTATACTCTTTTTACTTCCTGAGATTATGAAGAACATTTGTTCTTGAAAGGTCATAACTGGATGACATTTTTGTGGAAATTGTTAAACTAATGGAAGATCCTGTATGTGTCTTACCATCAATGATGTCAGAGTGATTAATATCTGTGTGTGGACTGATAGAGGTTTGACTCAGTGCTTCCTGCTGTAATCAGACCTTTGTATTGCACAATTATTGCACAATCCTAGTCATTTTAACCAGAATCAGATGATACAATAAGGAGGTGTGTTTTT